CCCACCCTTCCCACTGTTAAATGGATAGGAGCAGCGCTAGACCCACCCTTCCCACTGTTAAATGGATAGGAGCAGCGCTAGACCCAGCCTGTTGACTCTGGACTTCCACCAGGAGACGTGGTTCTGGCCATAGAAACTATCGGGGCTTGGGAGAGGTGGGGGAACAGAAAAAGGTGGCACGTTTCTTGCTTGCTCCCTCTGCCAGCCTTGTCCAAATCCCCCCAGCCACCCTAATCCAGCCTGTCTAATGGAACCCAAGCCGGCTCAGGCCCTCGTATGAGGAGCCTGCTAATCCCTGTGGCTAGGAGCTCACCACCTGTCTCCAGGATGCCCTTTGCTCTCTTGGCATCAGAGAGCCAAATCCCGGGCCTCAGATGGGGGTGGTGATAAAAGCGTCTTTTGGCCAAGCCCCCTCACCTTGGCCTCCACGATGAGGTGGGGAGTTAGGTACAGAGAGCGTTGGCACAGTGTACACCACAGCTCCAGTAGCTGCCCCAGACCCAGAGCCCAAGCAGACTTTATATGCAGCCAGAACAACCCCGCGGGGTTCCATCCGCGCATGCAATAGGGGGAGTGGGAGCTGCAAGGACAGCCGGGCTCTCCCCTCCTTCTATCCAAGGCCGTGTGGCCTGGTTGTTTCATGCCATTCTGGGTGTGAATCCTGATGCCAGTTGCCTGCCCTTGGGCAAGTCAACTCACTCCTTGAGGGCTGTTTCTCAACTGGAGGGTGTTGTAAGTTCGCTAACACTAAAGGCTTCTCCCTCCTGGTCCCTTCTTGCCCCTTGCTCTTCCTCCTCTTGCTCAGGCCCTCCCAGCTCAGGTAGCCCCTGCCCCCTGCAGGGTTTTGCAAGGAGAAAGCTGAAATACCTTAGGCAACTGCAGTCAAGAGCACTGGTGGCCAGGACAGAGAGAGAGAGACAGAAAAGGGGTCAGGGACAGAGAGAGATAACGGCAGGGAGAGACAGGAAGGCACGGAGACAGACAAGATTTCCAAGAAGAGGACAGAAGCAGAAAGCCAGGGAGAGACTGAGGAACAGAGGCCTAGAAGCAGAAGACTGAGAGAGAGAGATGGACAGAGACTATGCATCAGACACAGCCCCAGAGAGACAGCCAGAGTCCGAGTCAGACGCAAACCAAAGACAGGAAAACAGGAAACAGACCCAGAGATTAGGAGAGGGAGGGGAAGGAGACGCGGGGAGAGCCAGCACCGCCACCCCCCACACTCAGGAGGGGTCTCCACCCTCGGAGCGGCCCCTCATCCCTCCCTAGAATCCTTAAATCCTCTCTCGCTCGGGGCCTCGGCGGCATCTGTCACAGACTTGTCCTGAACCCACAGCGGCTGGCGCAGGTGACTGGCTGGGGAGGGAGCCTGGGTGTGCGCGGGGAATGGACCCGGAGGAAGAAGGACCAGGCTGTCGGGAAGTGGCAGGGCTGGAGGGGTGGAGGCAGTGGTCGGGCGGGACCCCGGGCGATACGGTTCAGCGCCTTTAAGAGAGAGCCGGAGGCCTGGGCAGGCCGGCTGAGCTAACTCCCCAGAGCCAAAGTGGAAGGCGCGCCCCGAGCGCCTTCTCCCCAGGACCCCGTGTCCCTCCCCGCGCCCCGGGCCCGCGCTCTCCCTCCCC